CAAACTAATTTTGAATGTTATGTTTAAAACATTTTATTTAAAAATCTACTATTTGAACGAAAATGCACATTAAATACTATGTATATATGTAGTCTTATTTTTTAATGTTTAAATTATGCTTAGAAACAATAACTTGTGTTAAGTCCATATGGCTATTAATACACTTATTTTTTTAAATATGTTTGAAACAGTTTTAAGTAATCTCTATAGAAATAGAAGTGGTCTCTATAGGTTCGGGCTACCACTCCCTATGACCTGGTCCGAGCAACATCGAAATTGGAAAAAGTTTTCCCGGCCGCTCCTTGGCAGGCAGTGGCAAACCTCCGAGTATATTTCTGCCTTGAAAAAGCTGTTCTGATACGGCGTAAAATTGTAGATCACTCCATTTGTGTTATACCATTAGGGCGCACACCACAAATTCGTGGAAAAGCTCGGCCAAACACTTAGCATAAGTGTAGGCGACGGAATATAATATTACAGTACATTTACATACATAAATGCATATCTGCATAGTATTTTATGCTGAAATCATGTTTAATTAATTTAATTTAATTTAAAGAAAAGATGTTATAAACAATTTTCGGTTGTAACACACTTATAGTACTACTCCACAACAAGCTTTTCAAGTGTTCCGCGCTTTTCAGGCTTTCAGCTATACAATTCAGCTATACAACGCCTGAAAAGCTTTTTGTGGAATTGTACTCTTACTCGAAAATTCTACTTTCTTCATACTGTGAGGGCTGATATCTTCTGGTTATTTGTTTTGCTTTGTTGTTTTCTTTCGTCTCAATATGTATTAAAAACGTGCTACTTTCATGTATGTATTTGTATGTAACAACGTTTTTAAGGAAGATTTACTGAATTTTCTGGGTATTGTTATGGTGGCCAAGTCTCAACAGGAAATCTACAACTGAAGCACTCCAAAAGGTGCAAAGTACTGCGATGCTCTGCATCTGTGGGGCTCTGCGCACAACTCCATCGGAGGCTATGCGCGTGCTGCTCGATATTTTGCCAATTGAAATTGTTGGAAAACAATCAGCGGGGTGTGCCGCCTTGAGGTTGAGGGAACTACCAGGCTGGAGGGACACTCAGGAAGGCCACACCGCAATCTTAAAGAACGTATATATACCGGACACGGATTACTGTGCACGAAGGTTGAACTTCACAAAGAGGTATAGGATTTCCATTCCAGATAAAAAATTCTGGTCAGGAGGGGCTCCCGATAAAAATGGATCACTCTACCTCTACACCGATGGCTCTAAGCTAGATGGCAAGGTAGGAAGGGGGGTCTTCTCAGCGCGCCTGGGGCTGGAAATATGTTTTCGCTTACCCAATCTCTGCAGCGTCTTTCAAGCTGAGGTCGCTGCTATACAGGAACCGGTTGAACACCTACGTACAAGAGAAGTCATTTATAACGATATCTTCATTTACTCAGACAGTCAGGCCGCACTCAAAGCGCTCGACTCGGTCACATGCAGTTCAAAAACCGTAGCGGACTGTCGTAGATCTCTAAACGAGATGGCTGAGCAGTCTGCGCTTCACTTTGTATGGGTTCCGGGTCACCGGAACATACCAGGCAATGAAAAGGCGGACGAACTTGCAAGAGAGGGCACATCCGCTCCACTTTCGCGGGCCTGGAAGGGATTAGGCATGCCGCTTGCTACCTGTAAGCTCATTCTAAGGGATCTGTCTCTTAAACTAGCAAGGAAGAGGTGGGATAGCCTCACCACTTGCAACAACACGAAGCAGCTGTGGGTCTGCTAACAGGCCATGTTGCTATTGGAAGGCACGCGGAGAGGGTAGGGATCCCCCATAACGACTTCTGCAGAAGCTGCAGAAATGAAGAAGAGCCAAAAACCTTGCGGCACCTGTTATGCGATTGTCCCGCATTTTGTAGAAGAAGACAAAAGTTTATGGGTTCAGGATTCTTTGAGGACCTAACCGACATAGCCGAAGTAGGCATACGGCAACTTCTGGGTTTCGCGAAATCCACACGATGGTTTAAGTAGGAGGGTTCTAACGATCCGCGTGTTATCACAACGGGCCCACAATCAAGGGCCTATGTGTGGTAGTGGGGTCACTGGCAGCCACTTCAACCTAACCTAACCTACTGAATTTGCTTCTTTATCGGGAGTGTCCGTCCCCAAATTTTAAAGATCCTGCCTGTCGATATCCCTCGCCCATCTCTGGTATGTATGTATATGAATTGGAATATTTTTGGACCTTCAAATCAATTGGGACGGAAATAAGAAATTCAACATTCAGACGAGTAATTTGAGATAATAGCTGTTTAGCATATTTACATTGATATTTAACAAGCAAACAAACACTTAAGAAGAAAATAATGTAAGCGACAAAACTTAATGTCTGTGTATTTCTGCTTAACCAAAAATTTTGATTTATTTTCTTTAAAACAGGAACAAAATCATTATGAGTTGTATCGAAAAAATTTATATTGAATCACTTTTCAAGATTTTCAAATAATTAATAATCGGTGTGCTTTATTTCACCAGAAGCTAGCGCAGATTTTACGAAAATAATTTCGTTAAATATACGAATTATTTCTGTGCATTTTACAAAAATTTCGTAAAAAAACACGAAATTCTTTAGTAAATAGTACGAATACATTCGTAAAATGTACTAAAGATCTGCTGCCTCATATTTTGTACGAAAACGGTTTTGTACAATCAACGAAAACTTTCGTGGCTCAAAATGACGAAAAATTTCGTAAGATTTACGCAAGTTTTCTTTATATTTACGCAGATTTTATTTTCAGTGTCGTTTTGAAGGATTTTTAACTACACCGAAATGTTTTTGAACTGATAGAAAATATATAATTAGCTCTTATCATACACAAACTATCCCCAAAACCATTTTAATCATTTAGTTATATATTTAGAAACATTTTAAGACTTAAGATATTACGACGCTATTAAACGTCTTGTGAATCGCCTGATTATATTGAAAGTGTGGCCAAATACTTAAATAAAGGTACCGGCCCAATGCAAGCTTACTTTGCTTGCTTCGCTGCGAGAATTGTTAAAAATTATTTGGAATATACTAAAACGTATAAAGGCTGGCCAAATGGCAGCTTTTCTTCATTTGCTTTAAGCGCCTCAAAGTTTTAAATAGACAAATGTTTTATTTGAAAGCGTTTTGTAGGCTTTTGACAAAGAGGCATGTTCCTGTTCAAAAAACATAAATTCAAACAAAAATTTGCTTACTTAATTTAAAAAAAAAAGCAATTCGAAATGAAATTAAACATATCGTTATATTATAGTAAAAAATTCCAAAATTGCTCACTTTTACAAATTTTACACGAGAGGAAAAAACTTCTATAGCTCTTTTCTTCAAGTAAATCGCTTTTTTAAGTTATAGTTTTTTTAGTAAATGTAGATATACATATGCGTGTATCATTATTACCACTTCTTTTAAATACAAACATTATTTCGCATTAACTTATAAATAAATCTGAAAGTTTTTGATACATATTCTAGAGTTTTCTAGGATAATAAAAATCAAGGTTAAGGGAACAGACACTGACTTTTCAACCAGCCAGCTGGTTACTTTGACAGCGTTTCAAGCCGCCATTCGGCCAAACAAGTTTTCAAACTGAATCAAAGCAAACTAAAGTCAGCAAAGGCACGCAAAGCAAGCCTGCATTGGGCCAGCGCCTTAAGGCTTTTCCAAAGAGGAGCCGTACGGTTTTGCAGCCAATTCAATTCAATGTGCAAATTTTAAGTAGTTAGGACTTACCGTTGATTTTTGGTAATTTTTTTTTTTTTGTAGAAAGTGTTGCTCATTTTCTCCATACAAAAATATACAAAAATCAAGGGTGAGTGCAGACACTTTAAACTTGCACTTAATTATACTAAAATTTAAGAGGCTACAAAACTGCTTAACTCAAAATAACTCTAGAAAATCTGATCAAAACGTTTAAAATATTGATCAACATTTGTTAAAATTCGTCGAATTTTTATAAATGTTCTACACAGTTTGAAATTTTGATTTACGTGTTTTTTTAGACAGGAAGTTATATTTTCATTAAAAAATAATAAACATTTTTTAAACAAAGGAGAGTAGCTAGAACTTGCTGAAATTCCCTTTTCCTATTTACATATATTCTCGCTACTGAATATATTGTGAGTTTACATTTTTGCATTATTTTTCAAGCTTTTTCCCTTTCTTTGGCTTTAAATAAAACTATTAAAAGGTGTTTTGTGTTTTTATTCTAAAAACAAAATTGTATGTTCGGATTCGAAGCTTTAGAAATGTCTCGTACCGCAATGCATTATAATTCCAAAATCCCATTTCTGGAGTTTCTTCCTAAACACAGTAAAGAATGAAAGCAACGTGAATCGTACTAAATAGATTGTACCACACTACCCTTATTTGAGCAGCCCTACAACTACATACATATGGAAAACTTTTACTTACCTACTTAAAATAGCCTCAGATGTGGTTAACTTTAAAATAATGGTTGCTTATTCATTAATTTGGTGGTACGCTATGTAGCCTTGTACCTTAAAATTAAGGAAAAAGGCTTTTTTATTTTAAAATGTATCACATTTGAGACTATTTTATGTATGTACATAGGTAAGTACAGAATAAATATTTTGGGTTCATATATGCTTGAATTCATTTGTAAATTGACTTAGGCTAAAGCAAAAATTCTTTTTTAAAGCGTACTGACTAGGTAAAGCGTTAAATTATCGAACAAATTCGACACCAATTACCAAATATCAATAATACTGATTTGATTGATTCAAGGACTCTGAGTGACAAGAATGTAAAATAACAAGACACATAAAGCTGAGATCAAAAAATACATAACAACTAATTAAAATAGATAAATAAAGAAGGAAATAAGGCAATAAAAACTTCTTACTTAAGGAACTGAGTTCAAGAAAATTATTGTATTTATGTATGTATGTATGTATACGATAATAGCTATAGTAAATATGGAGATATAGAAATTGACTGTTGAAAATGAAATTAACCTGATCCTTGCCAAAATAGGCGACGGCCGAAGCTGACTCGCCGGCTGCCACATCAGCACCGGTATGGGTCGAATAATCGCCTTCGAGTGAGCTCTGCGAAGAGGCGGAAGCTGTACCAGTGCTCGATTCACGTTTCAACTACGATTTGGAGTTTTTTCGGATCAAATATTTGTGGTTGTTTTGTTTTTGTTGTTGGTGTTGGTGTTTTGTGCATGGTATCAAGAGTTTAGTTGGTTAGTTGGGATTAAATGTTAATGAGAAACAATCATTTACAAATATTTATCGTTTTTTTTTTTAATTTTTGCCATTTTTTTATTTGCAGCATATTAATTTTTCGTAAACCATTATTAGGATTTTTGCAAAGGCGTCGAAAAGAAAAGGCGTTTAAAGTTAAGGAGAGTGCGCACATTTTAGATTTTCGGTTTTAGTTTTCAGTGTGTTGTTGTTTTTATTACATTACATTTACGGTGTGCGACGATTTATTGGTTGATGTTTTGTTGTTGTTAGTGATTTTGGGAAAATTTGTGAGGTATTAATTACAGAAAGAAAACAAACCGAGAAAAAGGAAGGAAATAAATGTTGTCAGTTAATTTTAAAAAATAAAATGAAATTATAAACAAAATATTCTTCTGGAGAACAGATTTTAGACAAAAATTATCCCCTAAAAATGGGAGTTTTTTGAGATTAAAACGAAAAATGTACCTTCTCTTTCTTATCCTTTTTCAATGGACTTCGACTACGTGGTGAATCAAAATCGGGAATATGCTCTGGTGGATGTCCCATGGTGTGACGTTTCTGAGCATCTTTCTCCTTCTCGGCCATTGCGAGAGCTAAATTTTACAAATATTTTAGTACTTCACTTCCTTCCGTTTTAAAAGCTTCTATAGATAACCATACCATCCATGCTTCTCGATGTCAAACGTCTACCAGACAAACTCCGATCGAACTTCGGCGCTGTACGATCAATTGGATTCCGCTTACTTTCATACAAAGTGCGCCCTGAGTATCTGTACTTTGAGCCGAAACGAGGGAACAGTGATGTTTTGGTCGGTGGTTCGGGCGTCATAAGCCGGAAGAATGTATGGTGCTCCACACATGACTTCCACAATTTCTTAGCTGCCTGATGATTGGCCAATTTAAAGCCAATAGTGGATTCATACTGCTCAAATTCCCCGGGACGTATCTTGATATAGAAGTGATGACGCTTGTAAGAAATCTTGAGAATCTTGGGCCATGCGAAGCGATTGATTCGTAATCTGAATAGAACAATAGCCAACCAACATCTGTTAGACATAAACGCAATAAAAGTCTTACAAACAGTACTCACTTGTCTCGGTACACAAGCAACCCCGATGCGCAGACACCCAGCATGATGTCAACACCCTCCGAATCTTTGGCCGGGTGCAAATCTACCCCATACATAGCTAGTTTCTTGGCATTTTCCAAGTAATGCAATTCTGCTTCAGCAGGTGCTTGGCCCCTAGAAGTTTAAAATAAACTTGTCCCGTATAAACCCAATCAAACGAAAGCAAAATACAAACTTGTGAGTCTTGTGCAAATCCATGACCTTGTCCTCCAACTCTGGTGTTTGGTTTGGTGCTATTTTAAAGTCCTTCAAATAACGGCGATCGGGCATCTCTTTCGGGTCATAATCGCCCATCTCCGATTGTACTAGGTACGAACCTAGCAGAGCATGCGTGACGAATGTGCATGGCAAACGACCTTCGAGGATATCGTTACGCACTTGCAGACATAGCTGGTAGCGAGTAATGTCCTCTTGCAACTGTGCAGGCTCCGGTGGATAAAATTTCACTGCGAATTGTAGCACCCAAGGATCACTACGGAAAAACTTAGAAACTGGTTTATCCAAATCCAACCAGGTGCGTGGATCTACGGGCGTTTCATAAGTCAAACCGAAGTAGTCTTTTTCCACAATATTAAGCCCAGCACAAATGGTGTTAAGCAGGTCGCGGCCTTTGGCTTTACGCTGTAAATTGTATCGAAAAGATAGTGGTTTGGTTTTTAAAAATCTAAACTCATAGGCTACTCACATCGATTGTGACATCAAGCAGAGAGCCATCAAGCAACGTGACACGTGCCAGTCCAGCTTTTCCGGTCGTATTCGCTTTTTTATTCTTCGAAGGCGTATCAGCCTCGGTAGCAGCGGTGGCAGTTTTCGTTTCCGCTGGCATTTTTCCTAATGTCCTATTTTACTAATGTTGACAGTTTTGTACTGGATTTATCTGTAACAAAAAAAAAAATATATATATATAAACTTAATAAGGAAAGAAATCGCTCGAAATTCGATTTAGTAATGTTAAATTTATTCTTAGTATGTACCACATGTAACATTTCAATAAGCATGCTTTTGACTCGAGATTAACTGATTAGCACTAATTTGAAGAATATTAATCTTCAAGCAAGGAAGAGAGAAGAATTGTAAGCAGAGACGCTTACACTTAACACACTAGGTGATTCAAAAAGTGTGCCACTAATGAGAAGGGTTGATGGATGCGTAGTTTTTAGAGGCAACTTTTGTTGCTTAGAAAGTAAATATGTAGTTGGTAAACAGTTTTATGGTCATTTTCAATACAAAGCCATGACTTAAAACCATCTTCACCAGCTGCCTAAAACTCGGTTACATTTTCGGAGTCTGGACAGAAGTCCAGGCAGTGTTAAAACCGAAAGCAGACAGAGCCTCTCATGTTAAACCTAGCGATTTTAGGCCTATCAGCCTTTCCTCCTTTCTAGTCAAGACTCTGGAAAGACTTCTGGAGACTTATATAAGACAATCGATTAACACAGTCCCTTTATCTAATGCGCAACATGTTTACAGCAAGGCCAGATCTACGGAGACTGCCCTCCACTCGCTAGTTTAAAAAATTGAGCGGTCACTAGCAACAAGTAGTATTCCTGGACATAGCAGGTTGCTTTCAATAATATCCTCCCTTATGCAACTACCTCGGCTCTGACGGACCTGCGGGTGAAAGCCACCACATCGATCTTCACATGTAAAAAGGCGATCGGTGTATCGTGGGGCTTCTCACCTAAGATAGTGTACGGCTGTACATTGACTAAGCAATATTTTTTCCCCCCACTTTTCATTTACCTAAATATAAAGTTGTTTTCCTCTTATATCTATATCACCCCATATTCTGGTCCGTGCACTTGCTAAAAGAGAAAACAAAATAAAAGCTCCCGCATGTGCTTGCTAAACACAGCTTCAGCAGTGGTACTATTTTCGGTGTTGCTCTAGGGATATTAACCCCAATCTGTCACGTATATCAAAGTAACCCTAGACTTCCGTTCTGCTTTGTCGGCCTTTATCACTTGGCAAGCAGCAGAGTCAATAAGTATTAATCGGAAGTTTAAAAGCTAGTAAAGTGTAACACAAGTTTTATTGTGAATCCGAGCAGGACTTGAAATATTTATAATTTTATACCTTTCATGAGCATGAAATGGTATTATAACTTTGGTCCGATGTTTGTAAGTGCCAGAACAAAAAGAGATAGACCCATGAAAATGTATACTTATATGATCAGAACGTCGAGCTGAGTTGATTTAGCCATGTCCGTCTGTCTGTCTGTTTGTATGCAATCTAGTCTCTCAGTTTTCGAGATATCCGGATCAAATTTGGTAGGTGGGTGTATTTTTATAATGTATTAATCATTTGTCGGAACCGGAAGAATCGGACCACTATAACATATAGCTCCCATACAACTGATTGTTCAGATATGAGATTTTTCATTATAACTTCTCCATTTATGCAGCTACGAACATGAAATTTTGCAATACTTGCACCCATTATCAACAGAATACTTACAGTGAAAATTACAAAGATCGGGTCACTATAACCTATAGCTCCCATACAACTGATTGTTCAGATATAAAATTTTGCGTTATAACTCCTCCATTTATATAGCTAGGAACATGAAATTCCGCACTGTTTTCAATAATTATCAACAGAAAACTTACAGTGAAAATTAAAAAGATCGGGTAACTATAACCTATAGCTCCCATACAACTGATTGTTCAGATATGAGATTTTTCGTTATAATTCATCCATTTATGTAGCAAGGACCATGAAATTCCGCGCTGTTTTCACTCATTATCAACAGAAGACTTACAGCGAAAATAACAAAGATCGGGTCACTATAACCTGCAGCCCCCATACAACTGATTGTTCAGATATGAGGTCTTTTATCATAACTCCTCCATTTATGCAGCTAGGAACATGAAATTTCGCACCATTTTCACTCATTATTAACAGAATACTTACAGTGAAAATAACAAGGATCGGATGACTACAACATATATCTTCCAAACATCTGATTGTTCAGATATGGGATTTTACTGTAAAACTCCTTTATTTGAATAGCTAAAACCGATAAATTTCGTAAGATATTTTATAAATAATAATACAAAGTCTACTGAGAAAATCGTCAAAATCTATGCTGTATAAGCTTTATCTCCTATAGCACTGATTGTTAAGATACCAGTTTTTGCCATGTATCTCCTTTATGTACGAAACTAAACCCAATAAATTGTGTTACCGGTTTACATACCGATCACATAGCGGTAAAAATCACTTAGATTGGTGTCATATAAAGTATATCTTCCATACCTCTGATTGTTTAGATGCGATTTTTTATATAAGTATGTAACCCCTCTATCGATGTATGCAGATGTATTCAAAAGCAGTAATCTGTCAAAGTAAAATTTGCAGATGTTCATGAAAGGTATGAAGCCTTCGGCATAGCCGAAGACAGCGCTGCTCCTACTTGTTTTTATTAAACTTTTCTAGTCGGCAGGGAATATTCCGTTCGAACTAACTACGCCCTTTCTTGTCCAGTAAGGTCACGTAACCTTCGGACATATGATTCAAGCTAACGGGGAAACAACCGCAGCAAGATTAGTTGGTTCATCGCCTATGCGCCCATAGTTCTCTTTTGGAATACGATGCTTTTGTCATTACTGAGTCCTGGCTTAACACAAATTTTTTCGATGCTGAATTTTTTGATATGAAACTGTTTACCGTATTCCGTAAGGACAGGGACGTTAATAGGACTGGACTCAGCAGAGCAGGCGGTGTGCTGATAGCCGTACGGAGTAACCTCCAAGCTACAACTATCCCTCTGCAGGATGAAGATACGCTCCTCGACCAACTTTGCGTTCGGGTGAGTGGTGCCCACAGCTTTCTTTATCTCTGCACCTCTTATATACCTCCAGCTGGTAATGATGCTTTAAGTATACAGATCTCACGTCGAAAAACCTGATTGCCATTCACCGTGTCGTTGGTAATGATCAATTGTGTGTTCTTTGAGACTTCAATTTAAGTAATCTAAATTGGCATTTTTTGAATAATGACACACTTTTAACATCCTCGAATATTAATAGTTCTTATGAATCTTACATTATTGATAATTTACTAGGGATAGGATTAGTTCAGGTCAATGGCTTGTATAACTGCTGAATCGCTTTCTAGACTTGATATTTATCAGTAATGGCTTACATTCTATTTTATCGCAACCTGCCTGTTCAATCTCGCCGCCTAACTTGCATCACTCGTCTTTTTGGTAGTTGAATTTTATGAGTTTTTTGTTTATCCTACCGTAAAATCAAGTTCGTTCAATTACGCTTATTGTGATTTTTACATGTTAGATAATAGTTGTGTTTGTTTACAAATTATCCAGTAACTTGCCAGCAACTCTCCAGTAATTTAATTTCTAAGAATTCGCTATCTTTGAAAAAATATCCAAATAGTACGCGAACGCAAATCCAGTAATAATTTGCAAGTTTCATGAACAGCTGATAAATTGCTTGTTTGTTCGCAGCAAATTCCTAATAAAATAATGTATTTTATATTTAAATAGGTTTATTTTGTCAATTTCAACAATAAAAACCCATAAACAGTTTCCTTATTAGTTTAAATTGCATCCAGCAACATGCGATCAGCTGGTTTTCGTACCGGCAAATTCTTACGAGTAAAAATTTATCCAGTAAATACTTGCAACTTCAGCTGTCATTTTCGCTCTCAATTTCCCCTACTTTGCAAGTTTTTGCGTACGAAAACGCCAAAACATGAAAATTCGTAAAAACTTTTACTGGATTTTACTGGAAATGAGTAAACAAACACAACTAATGTTTTCATTGAAATTAATTGGGATGTTTTGTTCGGTGAGAGTGCAGTGGATGGTTGCTTTAAAATTTTTAAAAGCTCTATAATTGAAGTGCGCTCCATGATACAAAAAAGAAGGTAGTTTCATTACTACTATTTTTTGATTATAAAGCAGATTTTTGACATTTCTCCAGATGTAAACATTAAGCATAGCTTTGCTACATGGAAATTTTTTGAGAGGGGAGATTTTCTTTTAAATAGTTGGGATTTAATAAAACAGTAAAATTTGCATAAAAAAATTGCAAGTTGATGTGTTCGATAATCAAATTTGAACGTTTTTCTCAAGCGTTCTCCTTTGAATAATATCAATGTGCAGAAATAAAGAAATAAAATAAAATCCAGTTTTGAAACATTTATTTATTAAAAAACTTTTTTTTCATTTTATTTTAAACAAAATAAATATATTTACATAAGAAAACTTTTTTTTTAATAGTCCGAAAAAGACGTATTGTTAGGCATTTTGTCATTAAAGCATAGTCCGAATCCAGGCCTCGGAGAAGGCTGAATGATCTCAATTCCCTCACAATTAAAGGAACCAAAATTCAGAATTCTCCCGAAGTGAAGTATCTAGATGTAATTCTGTATACAAGACTATCGTGGAAATCTAACGTCGAACACAAAACCTCTGAAGAATTGGCAGCATTTTGGCAATGTAAACAGGTATGGTGGAGCAGATTCTCAATCAAGAGCGTGGCAAGTCTGCTTGCAAAACTTCAAAGAACTACTGCCCGTGTGCTGTACGGAAGCTTTCTCTACAACACGTGGCGCTGCTCTGGATGCACTGCTGCACTTACCGTCACTTTGTTTCTTTATACGTAAGAAAGTCTTAAAGGCCACCTGCAGACTAGAAAGAAACGGATGCCGGTATAACACTGAGTGGGGCGAGGTGGAGGGGAATGAGTTTACATGTCTGCGGTGACAAACAAGCTGCACTTAAGGCATTGGGCTAACCTCTAACTACTTACTTCCAAACTCTGAGTGCCAGTTCAATCGAGAGTACCTCCTATCGTCCATAACCATATTATCCTTCATATCATGAAGCACCAAAATTAAAGCCTTACTGGG